CTTAGGTCACGCACTTTGCGACTATCCTAGTCTAGAAATATAGTTAAGGGCAGAAATTGGCCCTTGGAACAAACTGAAAAAATCATTATGGCCCGAAGGCTTCAAAGTTTGGAGATCCCTGCTCTAGCGTAAACTTAAAGTTACTTCTGAATTACAACTAGTTTCTACTATAACATATTACCTACTTGTATGCCTACTTACTAATTAATGAATATACCTGAAAAGATCAGGTATGAATTCATTTACTATATCAATAAATTTTTCGAAAGTACCGTAAATATACTTAACTATTCTTACCTGGAAATAATATATTGAGAATAAGATATTGAGAGTTTTTGAATTTGTTCATTACCATTCTCTCCAACAGGTTGAGCTCCAAACCTTTCTTCTGGAAATGAAGGGGCTTGAAATCATGGTTGAACTCATGTGATTAAATGAGTGACATATGTGGAATTTATTTTTTCATTCTGAAAACTATTTCTGTTCCTTCATGCGTGCTTTGAACGTTCGTCCAGTTTGACCTATATAAAACATCGGACGTGACCCACGTGATAATTTATACCCTCCTGATTTTTCTGAAATGTGCATGCATTCTTAATGTGCATGCCTAAGTTGTTGTTGGTTTTGAAAGCAATATTTACACCTTTTTTGTGCAGAAAATCGGAAATATTTGTAGTGGGTTGGCCTGAGTAGGTTAAGTTTCTATAACTTTCATCCTCTTCTCTTCGAATTGGGTAAACTTCCTTCAAAGCTAGGCTGTATAACTTTTTTAATAATGAAGAATGTCTTAAACTGCTATTGCAATAATTGTTGAGAGCTATTTGTTTTATCATGTTCAGTTCTTTATTGAAATTAGCCTCTGACAAGGTTCTTGTGCATGTGCATCATATCCAAGTGCTTGATTTTTCGTTGAGATGTATTTGGACAAATGAAGCTTATGTGAGCAGTGCCAGCATTTACAACCGCTACAATTCTTACTTGGACACAAAAATCCTCATTCTATTTTGGAGTAGAGTAGTCAAGAAAGATTCGTATCTAGTGTGTGGGCAGGTGTTTCAGGGGGTAGAATTATTAGCCCGTTCATTTATAATGGCACTCTCACATCTAAGAGATATTTACAAATTTCAAAGCAAAATATTGAACCCCTTGTTAATGAATAGCCATTAATGAAATTCCGAAAACTATATTTTCAACAAGACAGAGCTTCGCCTCACAACACAGCAATTGCCGCCAATTTCTTGGCTGTGAATTGTGGTAATAATTGGATAGCCAACCAAGGAACCAACCGTTGGCCGGCCAGGTCACCGGACTTAACGCTTGTGGATCTTTGGAAAAGATTGGAATATCCCATTTTTGAATTTCCGACCAACTCTAGATACGAATTGGAAGCGGCAGTGATGCGAAGCTTTGCTTCTCTCACTTCTATTGAACTAATTATTGTGGCAAAAAGCGTTCAGAAAAGGTGTCACCTGTGTGTAGAAGAAGCTAGTAGACATTTCGAACACCTTCTCTGAAGAAATTTATTTCATTGTTTATTCTTTATCATTATTATTNGTCAGTATAGAAAGAGGTGAGTTCGGGGGGTGGTTCATTATTAGGAATTGAGTTAACAAAAAATCATTCGACTGCGAGGGATTCTTCAAATTCTCTGGAATGCTGTGAATTTTATTTGGTATGAACTCATTAGATTTTATGGCTTTCCAGAGATCTTTGTTGTTTTTTTTGTTGAGCTCTGAAATAAAATATGCCTTCTTTTCTCTCTTAATCGCCTGATTTGTGACGTTCCGCATGTCCTTGTAGAAATGATTCTGAATTTCTGATTAAGTTTTTTTGAATCTTCTGAAAGATTTATCTCTTTTATTGTTCCAGTTAGCCAAGAGGATCGCTTCTTAGTTATTCTTGATGTTTTCAAGGGAGCATGTCTATCGAAAAGATTGGTCAAACAATTAACTCAAAAAGTTATTTTTTCATCAGCTCCTTCCTGATCAAATATATTGAGTGAGTTTAAAAGTCTACATGAGAAAACCTTAAATCCCTGTATTTCAAATAGGGGAAGGTAATTTTGAACTCTATTGAAATATCCAGGAATATACAGAGTGTCTCAGTGTAAAAAAGCAGTTTTCCAATAACTATTGATATCCCATTTGTTTTATACACCATTTAATTCTAAGTAAAAAAGGAAATTTTTTACAGGAAAAAGTCACAGCAACTTTTTGAAAATGCACATTTTTGAAAAACATGCTGTAACTCAGAAACGATGATAGATTTCGACATGCGGTTTCCACCATCAAGTGGTGAAAACCACTTAATAGTCTACAATAATAGCTGAGGGTTACATCCATCAATCTATTTCTTATAAAAAGGCTATTGCTGAAGTGACATTTCGTAACCTGTCATCAGCGATAAAATGTCAAACTTTTTTCCCCTCAGGTCCAAAATGTCTTTTTTTTTTCATTTATCAGTCTTTCCATATATTTGTCTTTCATCTTATTATCTGCTGCTAAGTCACTGATGGTTTGTTCCAATAAACTCATTTCATCTGGGATAATAGAATCAGCCTGGTCCTCACAGCAAATTATTATATTGTCTCGCAAAAATCTCACCTTAGACTTGCAACTTTTATGAAGGCAACTTCGATGAAATACACTGTTTCATCTGCTACAAACATAATGCATGAAAGGTTTTGACTTACAGCATTTAAAGGAAATGATAGACATATTAGATAAATATCGGCTTGCACCAAACAATTTACAGCTCAAGCTCCTGGACTATAGGATTCAATATCACAATCTCTAAGTAAAAACAGAGATAGTGATAAAATCCGCCGACTTGTTCTGGTTGTTTCAGAATAATATATTATATTCAACGAAAGTCATTTTTTGTGGAGGAAAAAATCAGTTTTTTATCGACCTTTTTTGGGTAATTTGTGGAGAAGAGCAAACTTTTTAGTTTACCCCGATAAATTACTGCGTAAAAATCAAAGTATTTTTCACAAAGAAATGCTTCTAATGAATATTCCAACGTTTTGTTTGAATAATTTGAAAGGAAGTACCTTGCCTAAGGTCTGTGAGAAAAATCGTAGTCTCACTGCACTTTAAACTACTATAAATTGTCCGTTAATGAGGAGCACATTTTAACACTGTTTGACACTGTCAACACTGTTTAATGACAGTAGAATGATGTAAAATAACCAAAATAAACAATATCGACTTTGAATAGATATCAGCATTCTGATCATGATTGATTTGGAGTACTTCTGCAGACTGCTCAGAAGAATCCCACATCCGTGGAAATAGAAAATGAAAATTTAAATAGTTGGTAAGTTACAATCTACACGTTAAAATTGGTGTAGATTGTCTCACAAACAGTATAAAATGATTGGTGGAAAAATGAAATCTTACAATCTCCTTATAGAAAATGTGTTTTAGGTATATTGGAATATTTTGCTGAATCATGAAATAAAAAGGATGTTCAGTAAAAAAAATGTATTGATCAGTAATGTCAGCTTCATATCTCTAAAAGATGCTTGTCATTTCTTTGATCCTCAGTTACTGTCACATGAATTGTGTTGTTTCTCACACCCCCTACTTCTGATACATCATCCAAATTTTCTTCTACGCCATAGTTGCGGGTAGATCTCTTGAAAGACTTATTATATGCCATTTTAAAATATTTATTCATTCTTCCCAGCATGTATACGACCAAAATCGGATGACCTATCTCAAGCAAGGAGGGGATGAACTCAGTATATAAAACAATTGTGAGAACAGTGATATTCGACGAATGTCTTACAATCAGATGATAAATGAGTATCGGCAAAAAGGCAGCATATATTATATTTGCTGTTGTTAAAGCATGAGCCGTTTTTGTGGTATCCTCTTTCGGGCTCAATCTACACTTCAATATATTTATGGTTACTAACAAAACCAGGAACGTTACATAGAAAACTGAAAAAATTGACATTCGAATCATGTGATGGTTTTCCGCGTAAATGAATGCGAAAATCCATTCTATGACGAAAACAACGTAAATGCCAGAAAAAACGTAGTGATAATAAATTTTATAGTTATACATCAAAGACGGAACATAACCGGAAAAGTACCAATCGACAGCAAGAGCAATAGCAAATGTTATGTACAGAATCAAAATTGTAGTCTGTGTTTGCAGTAAAAATATCGTAGGTACATAATCAGTGTAGACTAAATGTTCGAATATAAAAAATAGAGGGGCGGCTAGGTAATATATAATATTCAGAATTGCAAGATTCAGAATATACTTATTGATTCTAACTTCCCACAGCCTCCCAAATCTAAACAATACAACTAACAAGAATATATCTGCAGATATGCTAGCCAAACATATTGCTAGTTTGATCATTGATATAATTAGAACGAACGCTACGTTTCCTACATCATAATCTGCCTTCACAGAAGTATCGTCAACCTCAGCGAATGGATCATCTTCGAATTCTGTTCTGTTGATGAATGCGATAGTATCCATTGTTGTTCTAGTTCTGCCTGAAAAAACAAACCATACTGCAACTTTTGCGAGCCAACATTCAGAAAAAATTAAATGTTAAAACATAGATTTGCTATAGCATAATAAAAACTGGTGCAATTTGATTTTGAGGGCACATCATTCAGTCTGGTTCACATGTACTCGATTTAGCTCTTTTTGGTGACATTTTTCAGCCCTGTCCAAAAATTACGACCAAGGTGTCGTTCGATTCGTATGTTTGCCTAAAAAGTTTAAGGAAAGGTCCGAAAACGCGCCGATAAAAGTTACAAAAGTTATAAACAATCAAGTGAAAAAATGGGGCTTTAGTTTTTTCTTAATGTCTCGGAAAATTTTCAAAATTTTGGAAATTCAAAAAAAGATTTTAAAAGATCAATGAATTTGCTTAAAAAAAGTCCCGACTCCTGAAATTGTATCTCGATTATTTATAATTTTTACAGAGC